GGGGGGGTTAGGCTCAATGCCCCACGTACCCCACCCCCCGGAAAAGGGCAACATATTGCCGTTTTTGGGCCGACTCAAAGTTTTCCGGCCGTTTAGTCGCATGGTTCAAGCACCAGCTTTAAAAAAATAAATGTTTCCTTGCTCAAAAAACGCCGTAGAATTCAACAAAAAAAACGAAAAACAGATCGGACACCGTTATGGCGGCGTACTAACCTAACAGACAGTATATGTACAGTTAGAGAGGGAGAGATGACACCCTACCCCTAGACCGATTATCAAAGCTCCATTGCTCCACGACGAAGAGGATGTATACATCATCAAACGACCCGTTTTCGGAAAGCTCTCGATAAATCGGTTCCACCAAGATCTGAAAATTGGTCCAGGGTGCCCATATCATACGTCACCCTCGGCAGTCTACGCATATACCTCGAAAAGACCAACGTCGGGGGCAACAATGCAGAACCTTGTTGACGTGAAGGCAACACGTGCAACAACTCCTCTATAGTCTGCCCACAAGACATCACTTGCAGCATCTATGTAGTCCACCCAGATGGGGAAACTTAACATCCATCCATGTACAGTCTACGTATACAACACTCACGACGACAAGACAAAAATGTCGTCAATGTTCATCATTGTCATCTTGTACTACAAGATGTCGTGATGTAGTGTGATTGTCAGCTTGTATTACAAGATGCTGTGAGTGTTGCCGTGTTGTCTTGAAACACAAGACGGTGTGGTGGTGTCGTTTGGGTACAGTTACAGACCGTGCCCTATGTAGATAGGTGCTCAAGTTGTTGTCGGGTCAGTAGACTACATCGAGAAGAGGTGCTCAATTTGTTGTCGTGTGGGTAGACCACGTAGAAAAGTGCTGGAATTGTTCGTGAGGGTTAACTAGGCAGATCTACGACAGCACTTTACAGCATCTACTAACGTAGTCTACCCACACAACATCACCCACCGCAGCATGTTGTATCAATGTACACAGCCACACACCTCGAGGAGCGCGGCGGGAGAGTCGAGCTCAGCCACCTTTCCGTCATCCATGACAAGGATGCGGTCCGAGTCCATGATCGTGTTGAGGCGATGAGCGATCGTTAACACCGTGCAGTCTCGGAAGGCAGACCTATACAGCAGCAGCACCAAAAAAAAACGAGACGCCAGCAGAGATAGATTAGACGTGTGCACGCGCCATGTGCTAACAATCAACCACACAAAAGGACGCATCATGAAAAAAGAAAGAAAGAAGAAACCGACAGAAAAAAAACACCTGTCCAAAAAACCACAATGGGGGTATCATCGAAAAAAAAAGGGTCTGAATATCGATGGAGAGCGGACGAGAAGCTAAGGGAAATCGGCGACCGTCACGCTACACGAGACGCGAGTGGTCACGTATGCCTGTGCAGAGAAAACTCACCTCCTCGTCGCCTGGCTCATACAACCGTGTGAGTACACCTCGGCGAACGTTTCTTGCGGTCGCGCGTCAAACTCAAGCTCGTTCTTCGCTCAAGCCTCGCGCACGTAGACACGCTAAACCTAGGGCCAGCTTGTACACGATACCTCGCCCTTACCTGAGCGTGGACTGTATGACGTTGTCTGTCTCGTAGTCCACCGAAGACGTCGCCTCGTCAAGCAGCAGCACCCGCGTCTTCCGCAGCAGCGCCCTAGCCAGGCACACGAGCTGCCTCTGCCCGGCAGAGAGGCTTTCCCCGTACTCCGCCACGTGCTCCAGGAGGCTGTTCGGAAACCTCCTGCGGTAGGGTGTGTGTGACCGCACGGTTGTTGCCACAAAAGGGGGTGACGCAAGCAATGTGTGGGGGGTGGGGTTGTCAATATCGTGCATGGTAGCGCCCCGGAAGAACAGAGAACGGCCCCTGGATTATTGCACAGCAGGGCCAAACTAAAATTTGTCAGATTTCCTGAAGCCGATCTAGGGTGCGTGTGTGCCACGACAGAGGTGGCGGGACGTGCGAATACCGCGCGCCGCGGACAGCAGCTCATCACGTGTACGGAGTGATGTTCCATCGAGATGAAGACGACATGCTTTCACTCGCGGTCCTGCACAAGCAGTTGCCGCAGATGCCGGGTGTGTGTGTGTGTGACGAACACGATAGGAAACAGCATGGACATCGACACCAACACCAACCCTACAACCACAACACACCGCAAGCAGCACGCAACACGAAGGCAACTAACCTACCCAAACCCGCCGCATCAACTTGAACATACCTGACCGTTGCAGCCAAGGAAGCCTGCTCGAGGGCATCCCACACCTCCTCATCCGTGTAGACTTCGAACGGGTCGAGGTTCGCCCGCAGCGAACCACTGAACAGCACAGGCTCCTACGCACACGGGCAGACAGAAATGCAGGCGGATGGGGCAAGGAGAGAGGGAGAGGAGAGCGAGAGAGAGCGAGAGAGAGAGAGAGAGAGAGAGAGAGAGAGAACTGGTGGTCAAGACGTGTGGGCTTCGAATATAACGACACGTAAGAACGTGCAGCCTACAGTACCTCACTAAATCCCATCTATTCCCCTGTTAGTTCCCCCAGCTGACCCAACAAAGAGTGAGGGCTGGCTCAACAAAGAATTTCCTCAGGTAGCAGCACACGCGTTACACTGGCCATTTCCAATACTCATACATGCGCATTTCACGAAAAATGGCAAAATGTTCATTTGCACCTGAGGGATGATGGTCAGCCTCGACCTGAGAGCGGCAAGCCCGATAGCCTTGGTGTCGACGCCGTCGATGGCGATCGACCCGTCCTCGCAGTCCACCATGCGGAACAACACCTGCATGAGGGAGCTCTTGCCGCTGCCGGTTCGCCCGACGATGCCGATCTTTTCTCCAGGCCTGAGTTTTAGTTGTTTACACAAGCAAGATCATTGTTTTAACACCACACCATTACATGAGACAATTGTTCAACGAGCGCGTAAACACTGATCGTAAACACTGATCGTTGGCTCTGTAGCGGCAAAACAGAAAAAAACGACAGTGGCAAACAGAAGCACATTCATGCATACAACGAGGCTATCCCCCCCAAACACTTATGGTCAGGGTGACATCCTTGAGCACTAGCGGACAGCTCTCGCGCCACTCATTAAGTAGATGGAAGCGGACGGGGGGACGCACACCCTACTCCCTACCGATAACCAACTCCGATTGCATGCTTTATCCCACATGTTTACATACTACGAATAGCCCGCGAAGCCTACTGGCACCAGCGGCAGTTACAAACAGCGGCAGATTCATGCTGCAACGAGGCTATCCCCCCTAAAACACCTTATGGTCAGGGTGACCCCCTTGAGCACCAGGTCGGTGTCCGGGCGGTACCGCATGGTGACGTCATCACGGAGCTCGATGCGGCCTTCCCACGGCCAGCCTGACCTCAGCAGCTGACGGTCGTCCGGGCAGTTGGTGAGCAGCGACTCCTCCGGGATGACCGGGAGACTCTCCCCAGTGAGGCCGGACAGCTGGTGGTAGTAGGGATGCCTCGGTCTACAGAGGGACAAAATATTTTTGTCGTGATTAGAGAAATTCGAGACAGAATTCCGTGACAAACGAGGTGGAGGACGGGGGGAGTACGATTTGTCGGTCACGCTGGTGGAAGGACAACCTCCTCGGTCATGAGAGAATGAGAGAAATTTCGTGATCTACGAAATGTCGAAACAACAGGTGCACGGCGTAAGAGAGGGGGGGGCGGGGGGGGGTGTTCTTTGTCGCCCATCCTCACCTTATAGAAGAAAAATAAAACCTCTCGACAAATCAAGGCAACCTCAGCTTAACTCTACAGGATGCTAAGTTCGCATGTACCACCAGTCACAGAAGAAGCCCACCTGCTGACGTGGTGCGGCGGCTCCTGCGGCGTCTGCTGCGAAGTGTAGAGCACCCGCTCCACCGAGTTCATCACCATTTCCGTCTCGGAGACGCACCGGACGGCCCAGTTCAACAGCCCGGTCACGCTGGCAAATAGATGTTAGCACACCATCTTGGCTTCGTCAGACACGGTTTAAGGGGAAACGTTCGCTCCTCTCGCGAAAAAGCAACACCACCCGAGACTGCGCGACGTCAAGACGGCGTTTTTCTTTCTTTGCGGCTACATTCGGGGTTGTTGCCAAGCGTTTTCGTAAAGAGAAAAAAAAAAAAAAACACCAGGGAATGCAGGAAGTGAAACCGACGGCCGTGATACCCGTACCGCGGTCTCACATGCAGCGGCATGATCATCGCCCACCCGCAGCACCACACTAACGCAATATCAAAACTCATTTTGCCAGTGTATACTACCTGAACAGTGCCTGTACCCACGGAAGGCGTCCGAGCCGTGCTCTATTTCTGCACAAAAACAAATACAACTGAGAGCCGAAGTGACACAAGTGACACAAGTGATACAAGTGATACCAGTATGATACAGCCAAGTGATACTAGACAACCAAGACAAGGCAAGAAAAGGCAGCAGCACCTAAGAGCACCGAAGCGAAGAAGTGACGTAGTGAAACAAAGGATACAAGAAGACTACCGCCGTGTGCCAAAAAAGCTGGTGTCAAGAAAAGGAGCAGGAACGAGAGGTTGCAGGCTCAATCATGACAATAAAAACCATTTGACGATGACGAGAAAAAACAAGAAAAAATATGTATTCATATTTGTGGCGGCACAAAAATAATGAATGGGGGTACCTTGAGTCGTAACTACTCCTTGTTCGTTTGGTTTCAAGTCAATTGGTGGGGGTCTCAGCGTCAATTTGGGCCATCACGTGCTTCATTGAACATGATACGCAGGAGAGAGAACCATCCCCCTTTTTACGATTCACTCTTGCCTACGATGTGCCACCGTATTAGTAGATAGCTTGCGTGCATACGGTACCTGAGAGCGTTCGTGATGGAAAGTCCGGCGAGACCAGCGACTAGCCTGCCGTTGCTGGCCGCAAAGACGGATAGCAGGGTGGCCATCAGGACCACGAAGTTCCCCAGCATCTCCAGGCGTACCGAGAGCCAACGGTCCACCACCTGCACATTCGTTTCCGGGGAAAGAAAAACGATGTCCCGGAGGATTAAAAAAGAGAAGAATGAAGACGGGGTGGGGGTCACATCAAGAAGACGCTGTGGTTGAATACCGAGGGCGAGGCAAGGGGATGAGGGAACGATCATGGGGGCGGGGCGGGAACAAAGGCGAGAAGAAACGGGCGGAGAGGCATGAGCCAGCCTGTGCCAGATATTTCCTTTCCGGCGCGAGACTGTGGCGCTATGCTGCGGGTGGTGTTCCAGACGCGAGGGATTCACAAGAGCATGGGGTCCACCATGGCGGGACGGGAAACAACTCGAGCGGGTTGGGTGAGATACCCTGACTACCTGACCAGTGTGATGCGGATGAACTGGTGTTTCCTTGCATAGCATGCCAACAAAAAAAACTTCAACACTCAGCAGTAACAACAACAACAACGACAACAACAACAACAACAACAACAACAGCGACAGCACCAACAACGGCGACAACAGCACCAACAGAAGACCACCATCACCAACGCTAACAACACAACAATAACGACAACGCCATCACGAACAACGACGACGGTATACCTTGAGTGCAAAGTGAGACGCAAGGTTGTTGTCTACGAGCCTCTCGTTCGTCCTCGCAAACAGGTTGACGTGTCCGAACGCCCGAATCGCCGACAAACCTCCCAGGGTCTCCGTGAAATGCGCGTAAATGGGAGACCTGCAGACCGGAATTGGCCATGGCAAGGCAGCGCCGGAAAATATGGGAGCAGGGCGAATAGGTGTGGTGTTGACATGCAAGACGACGAGCCGGGGTACCTGACTTAGCCGGGCAAATTCGTAGCACCGCACGTTATCGTAGCTGGCCATCACTTCCGTTCGAATGAACTTGTGACCGTTCGAAAGCTCGACCCGACCAGCGTCAACGCGTATCTTTGCAAAAAGAACAACGAGCGCCCAGAATTGGCACAACAAGCTCCTTATCATGTATACATGTTGTTCTGTAGAACCCGAAAGGGAAATGTGCCAAAAGAAATGTAAATATGTGCCAAGCGTCAAATTGTACACCAAGCGTCAAATGGAATACCAGAAGGTGTAGACTGGCGTTGCCTACACGAAAACATTACATACAACAGAACCCGAGGGTAGATATAGAAATCGAAGTGAAACCGCTCGACTAGACAACCCTTTGTAGGAGCCGAAATCAAACCGATAGACTAGTCGGCGCTGCCAAAGACTTTCCTTTCGGCGTCTGTTCACAAAAACACACACTCATGGGGTCCCAAATCATGGCCTTGAGGAGCGCTTTCTGTCGATGCAAACAGTACAAACACACACGAACAAATCCGTCCACGAAAAACAAACGCAGTCCGAAATGAATGATCTCGGGGTCCAAGACGACACTGTCAAAATCGCACGCAACGCTTCACCGCACAGGGGCGTGCGTGTTATCCAACCACCCTGAAATACCTGCGCTGTCATGCTCTCACTTTGTGATCGACTCCAGTCGCTTGAGCTCGATCGCGACATGTCTGAAGTAGTTCATCACTCGGATGTACACGATGGAGAGGGGCGCCAGGATGAAGGCGAATACCGGAGTGGCCACGATGATGGCGCACCCGGCAGCCAGCACTCCGAGCCCCCCGTTGATGACCATGGCAACTTGGGATATCAGGTTCTGGTCCACCTGTGCGTGTGACGAATATGATAACGATGATGAAGCAGGAGTGCGCGACGTTCGGCACGATAGGTAGGCAAGCAGGGGTGCCTATCGGTAGCCGTGCTGCAAGTCAAGACCTTGGACACGTTGAGGGAAACAGCAAAGACAAGGTTTTGGCGAGGCTGGAACAAGAGGCATGCGCCTTTGGTTGCACACAAGTGGGCCCCCACTGGGGGTCTAGTCGGAAACCTACTAGCAACGGCAGGTTGGAGGTCCTTCATGACTCCAAAGTGGAATATCTATGCAATCTACGGTGGAAAACGCCTAAATTCGCGAGTATGAACACCTCGACATCACGCCGTCGACAACGGAAAGGGGCTGATCAACCCGAATGAGCAACACCAGCCCGGTTTCGAAGTCAGCGAATATACAAGCCACAACCGACAAAACCACGAGGCGAACACCCAAAAGAAACGTTCCACCCAAACACCCTGGAAATACAAGAGCAAAGCAGACACACAGTGGCACAGCAGGATTCAACAACCTACAGAAAACCATCCACACAAAACATCACAAAAGCAAGAAAACAAAACAAAAAAATTGGCAAGCACCTGGTCAGTGTCCTTCGAAAACCTCTGGATGATGCGCCCCACCGGCGTGGTGTCGAAGAAGCTCACGGGGGCGTGCAACACCCTCCTCAAGAGCGCCCCGTGCAGACGCTTGCTGGCGCCGAGGCCGAGGTAGAAGGCCCACATGGTGCGGAGGTGGGAGAAGACACCGACCACCGCCGCGGAGGCCGTAACGCCGAACAGGTAGAAACCCAGGGGGTGGCGGGCGTAGAGCGGGTCCGACGACCAGAAGGACACCACCCTGTTGTCCGTTGTCGCGTCGTTTTAGTTCACACGCAACCGTGTTGTGTGATTCCATTTTTATTTTTCGGGGGGGGGGGGGGGGGGGGG